GGGGCACAGAGTCCTGGGGGGGGAGATGATGTCCCCAGAATCAGGGCTTGTCACTGCCCCGAGGTCCCCACAGGGCAGGTGGAGGACGGCAAGTTTTGGGGTATGTGAGAGTCCCCTGCTCCATGAGGCTGGGGGGGTTCTGCCTTGGGGATGGCATTGAACTGGGAGACACTGGTAACTGCTGGGAGAAGGTGGGGGGCGTCTAAAACATCCCCCTGTAGCCACCCAGCCCCAAGCCCAAATCCATCCTACTCCCTAACCCCAACCCTTCCTCTCCCCTACCCCCCAGCAACCCCCCCCCCCTCCAAATACCCCCTCAGCTCCAAAAGTCCCGGGGAGGGCCACCAATCCCCCAGAAAAAAAGCCCTCCCCTGAATCACAGGGTGTCCCCAGAGACCCTGCCAGCTGCACCCCCCCCACAGTCCCTGCTGCAGCAGACAGGAGCCTGCGATCTTTATTTATTCCTTCTCCCTCCTTCACCCACTCTTTGTTGTTTCTTGAGAGAGGGAAAGAAGAAAAAAAAAAAAAAAAGAAAGAGAAAAAAAACACACACAGAGAGGAGGCAGGAGCCTATTTTGCCTCCCAGGCAATATTTCTGGAGCCAATCGGAATGCGCACCCACCCTGCCCTGCTCCCTAATTAAAGGCTTTAAGCAGGCGGCCGGGGCTGGAGGTTTGGGCACAGTCTCTTGGTTGCTCTTCGCAAGAGCCGGTGCGGAGGAGCCGGCTCTGGGCACGCCAGGCCTGACGCGCGGGCAGCCGGAGCCGCCAGGTTGGGGGGTCCCCAGCCAGGCGGGCAGCTCCCCCCCCCCCCAGTTCCAGCGATGAGCGGCTCTTTCGACAAGAAGCTCTCCAGCATCCTCACCGACCTCTCGGGCTCGCTGAGTTGCCATGCCGCCTCCAAGGACTCTCCTACCTTACCGGAGTCCTCCGTCACCGATTTGGGCTACTACACCGGCCAGCACGACTACTACTCGGGCCAGTCCTACAGCCAGCCCGTGAGCCACTACCCTTACCACCAGTTTAACCTCAACGGCATCGGCGCTGCCGGCACCTACTCGCCTAAATCCGACTATTCCTACAGCCCTTCCTACCGCCAGTACAGCCACTTCAGGGACCAGCAGCTCCCAGCCCAAGAAGCAGGTAGGATGCTCAGGAGAGAGGGGTCGTATCCATCCCGCTGATCCCCTGGGATTGCAGCCGGAGCTTGGCGAAGTTGCGCCCCTCTAATTGTCCCCGAGTTGGGGACGGGGTGGCCGTAGGGCTGGAGGAAGGGGGTGTTGTCCCCGTCGAAGGATGGGGTGGATGTCGGGACGGGGCTCAGCCCCCTCCGGCATTCCCAGCGCTGCGGGGGGGATGCAGCAGGATGGAGCCGGGCTGGATGCGGCCACCCGGGGGGATGCCCCGAGGGATGGGGCAGTGTCACCACACAGAGCGGGATGACCCTGAGCTGGGGGTGGGATGCCTGCGCTGGGACCCCTTCACCGGCACCGGCCTCACACCTCCGCTCTCTGCCCAGTGTCGGTGAAGGAGGAGCCGGAGCCGGAGGTGCGGATGGTCAATGGAAAACCCAAGAAGATCCGCAAGCCCCGCACCATCTACTCCAGTTACCAGCTGGCGGCTCTGCAACGCCGATTCCAGAAAGCCCAGTACCTGGCGCTGCCCGAACGGGCTGAACTGGCTGCCCAGCTGGGGCTCACCCAGACCCAGGTAAGGGCTGAGCCCCCTGTCACCCCCCCGTCACCCCAATTCCCAGCCACGGGCAGGAATGATTGGCAAGAGGGGAAGCCGGAGCTGCCCCCCCTCCTGACAAAACCCGAATGAGTGGAGGTTTGGGTGAGGCCTCCGTTCACAGCTGGATGGTGAGAGCCGGGAGGGGTCTGGGGTCCCTGGAGATGGATGATCCCCATTTGCTTATGGGCGCCGGGATCCCTGCCGCCAGATTTCCCTGTGCGGAGCAGATCTGCTTTGCCAAGGAAAAAGTGGAGAGGAGAGAAGGAGCAGAGAGAGGGGACCCCCAGTCGTGCCCCGTTCCCCAGGTTTCGGGGTTTATCCCCTTCCCTGTGGAGCCAGCCCCATCCCAGACCTCGCTCTGCCCAGGCACCCGGCAGGGTCTGAGGCCGAATCCTGCCCTGGTGCCTGGGAGGGTCCTGGCTCCCAGGAACATGGGACACGAAATCCCAGGCGGGACGGGGTGCTCAGGACGGGGTGCTTGGGACACCCCACCCGGCAGCAGGTCCTGACCCCGAGTCCAGCTGGAGCACAGGGACACAGGGGCCGGACTCTGCTCCCCCCAGCTGGGTTTCTGGGGCTCCCCTTGGGTCCGTCCTCGTGGCACTTCGGCTCCCCGATCCCGCTCGGTCCAGGCAGAGAAGAAGGGATTTTGGGACAGGAATCACATTCCCCTCACCGGGACCCCATGCTGGAGGTGACGCTTTAGGCTGGACTGGAAAAGCAGGGATGGGCGTGATGGGCATCTCGCCACGCAAGCACCCAGATTTGGGGCTAAACCCTTACTTTTGGGATTCGCTTGGCGGGAGGACAAATCGTCCCCCACCGATCTGCTGGCACGAAGGCGAGTGGGTTGTCACCGCGGCGTGCGACTCCCCCGCACCCCATCCCGTCCCCAGCGCCCTCCCTGCCTGCGGGCCGGCGCCGGCGCCCTTGTGCCGCCCTTGGCGCGGCGCTCCCCAGCACCCGGCCTTCCTCCTCCTCCTCCTCCTCCTCCTCCTCCCTTGGGCGATGAAGCAATCGGGGACACTCGGCAAAGGGCTGACGGAGCGCGTCACCCGCTCCCAGAGGGACATCCTGTTTGGGTGACAACCACCGCCCCCCCCCTCCTTCCCCAGGGGCCAAGGGCGTCCAGCGCCGACGCCTCACCCAGCACCGGCGACGCTCCCGACGCCCGGCGTGTTGGGCTGGCGGCCCGTGATGCATGGCGTGACGGGCTTCCCGCGACGCCCTTGTCCCCCGGGGGGGGCTTCCCACAACGCGCCGCGTCCCCGTGACACCCGTATCATGAGTGCCTTCCCGTGGCGCACGGCGTGTCCGGGTTCCCCGTGACACCCGCATCCCGGGTGCCTTCCCGCGATGCACTATGTGTCTGGGGTCCCTGTGACACCAATGTCCCGGGGGGGTCTTCCCACGATTCACCATGTGTGTGGGGTTCCCGTGATGCCCATGTCCTGGGTGCCTTCCCACGGCGCACAGTGTGTCCAAGCTCTCCGTGACGCCCACGTCCCTTGTCCCTTCATGCGTTGCATCATGTGTCTGGGCTCTCCGTGACACCCATGTCCCTTCCCATGTTGGATTGTGTGTCTGGGCTCTCCGTGACACCCATGTCCCTTCCCATGTTGGATCGTGTGTGCTCCCCATGACACCCATGTCCCTTCCCATGTTGGATTGTGTGTCTGGGCTCACCATGACACCCATGTCCCTTGTCCATTCCTGCTTGCCCGCCATCCCCACCTCACCCCCACCCCGGGGTCCTACTCCCGTACCTCGTTCAACCCGGGGGTCCGCTTTTGGTGACGGGGTGCTGACCCCTCTCCCTCCCCGCCAGGTGAAGATCTGGTTCCAGAACCGCCGCTCCAAGTTCAAGAAGCTGTACAAGAACGGCGAGGTGCCGCTGGAGCACAGCCCCAACAACAGCGACTCCATGGCCTGCAACTCCCCACCTTCCCCGGCCGTCTGGGACAGTAACTCACACGGCAGCGCGCCGGGACGGACCTCGCTCCCGCAGCCGCTTCCCTACAGCTCTTCCCCCGGCTTTTTGGAGGAGCACAACCCCTGGTATCACCCCCAGACCCTCAGCGGACCCCACGGACCCCACCAGCCGCCACCGGCCACCACGATGCATCACACCTCTCCGGGGCCTCCCCCCAACACCGGTGCCGTCTACTAACAGCCCGGAGCGAGAAAAGGAATGAGAGACAGTGGCAGAACTCCTTTGCCTCCTTTTTTTTCCCCCTACTTTTTGGGTTTTCTTCTTTTTTTTTTTTTAAAAAAAAAAAAAATATGACAACCATGTACACGCACCCCTAGATATACACTTATGTATCCTATCCTCTCCCAGCTCATCTCAGGAACAAGAGGACTGCAAAGGGTTAAACTCATTAGCTCCCAGCCCAGGGCAGGCGAGGAAAAGGTGGCGAATTCTTCTTATGCTTTTTTTTTTTTTTTAATTTTTCCATCCCCCCCAAATAAAAACGGCCCCCGAAGAGCCACATCCCACCGGGGGGCCCTCGACGGAGCTTTGCTTCTTGGGGCCACCCCGGTGAGCTGCCTTGGGGGCAGAGGGGGGGCTGCCCCACGCTGTGACCCCCACCCCACCCCACGCACGAGTGGGCACCCAGGAGGGGCACGAGGGGCACCCGGAGCACCCGCACCCCAATGGGAACGGAGCCGGTGGGGAGGAGGACGCGGCGTCGCGGCGTGTGGGTGCCCGTCGCCGATGCCGAAGGAGCGGGATGTGTTTCGCCCTCGCGACACTCGAAATCCGGGGACCGGGAGCGGTTTGGGGGGCCACGGATGCCCCACGGGAGTAAACCAGGACCCCCCCAGCCCGGCCGCTTCTGTGGCAGCTTCGCGGGAATCGCCCAGGACGATGGTCAGACAATAAGGTGGTTATTTAAAAATAAATAAAAAGTGTGTGGGGAGAAAATATTTTAATATTTAAACAGTTCAGGAATGGCTTAAGTTATTTTTTAAAGAGAAAAATCATGCTAATGTCCGTTTTCTAACAGTGCCTCCATCTGTGTCAGTTAAGCTAACAGCGAAGCAGAATGCCTATTTTTTAAATAAATCGACAACACATTTTAAAGAAAAAAAAAACCTCTTTACTATTTTTTAAGAGAATGATGCTATTTTTTTAAAAGCAGAAAGTGCAGTTTTAAGAAGTGTTCATACGTGTTGTACAGTCCCGAGGATCTTATTTATGTTGCCTTATATAAATAGGGGTGTATGGGGGAAAAAAGAGAGTGTACATAAGGTTCGTTTGTATAAAGTTGATCCAAACCAAACTGTTTTCGGTCTGGTTTTTTGTTCGCTTTTTTTTTTTAAGGGAAAAAAAAAAAATCCTGGTTGATGGGAGCCCGCTCTAAGGACAGGGGCTTCCTCCGAGCATCCTTTGCTGCTTTCCTAGTGAACAAAGGCTGATCTATAAATGTTAATAAAAGTGCTTTGAATTTGAAGGCTCTAAACACCATTTTTTGGGAGGTTTTTGGTGAGCAGGGAGGAGCTCAGGAGTTTTCCGGCTTGGGAAACGCAGAGTTAAACCCTGCGTCCCCTGCGCCTCATTTTTGGGGGGCAGCTGGGGGGGGTGGTCGGGGACTGGGGATGGCACTGGGCGGTGGGCACGGCCGCTGCCGGCTCCCCCCGAGTCCCGCTTCGCCCCACCGAGAGGGAATTTGCGGGGAGAGGATTTTAGCCCTGGTTTGCAGAGTCTTCCTTGAACAGCCGCGGAGAGCTGCCGCTTCCCTCCCGCTCCTCTTACTGGGACCAGTAGGCTCTTAGCCATGCAAACTGGGAGGGTGACTGGGCTGACCCGGTGTCCCTTTTGGGGAAACCCCACGAGCGAGGGCTGGCAGGGGACGGAACCCCCACCAAGGCACCGACCCCGCGGGACCGACACTTGCCATCCCTGCTGAGACGCCGACTTTCCCCATCGGTTTTATGGGGCCGAGAAGGCATAAGTGACCCAAAGACCCCCCCCCCAGCTGTAGGGTCTTGGGACAGGGATGGGGCTGAACCGCTCCGGTCACCCTGTCCCCGGCGTCACCGGCATCGTTTCGTGGGTGGGAGTGCAGCAAAGGGTCGGGGGCTGAAGCCCCGTCACCCATCCCAGTGCTGTCCCCACTGAGCCGTGCTGGGGACGGGGAACCTGGTCCCCAGCATCACATCCCCGATGGCCGTGGAGGGCCCCCCCCAGCCCCCTGTGCTGCTCCCACATGGTCCCAGGCAGCACCCAGCCCTCTGTGGGGTGGCTCCGGGGATGGTCCCTCTGCACCCTCCGGGGACACCCCCGGCACTGTGGGGTGCCGGCACGCCGGGCGCAACCGGGATGCACCCAGCTTCCAGCATCCCCAAAGGTGTCCCAGTGTCCCCAGAGGTGTCCCCATGTCCCCCCTTCCCACGGCCAAGTCCGTGCGGGGCCAACCTCGCACCTCGCACCCGTGGGGGTTTCCCCAAATCCCCCCCCCCACGGGCTGCACCCGCCGGTTCCCCATCCCGTGCCACCGGCGTGCCAACATCGGGCACAGCCGGACCCCTGGGCATCCCCGTACGGCGCCTGCATGACTGGGCCGGTTCTAAAGAATTAAGGGGTGCTGCCAGCCCCCCGTCCCCCAGCGCTTGGGGTTGAGGTTGGGGTTGGAGGCTGCGTGCAAACCGCCCCAGAGCCGGCAGGCGGGCAGACACGCTGGAGACACGGGGGTTATTAGGGGGAGGCTGCCAGCAAAAGCGAGGAGGCGGCGGGTTGGGAGAGGAGGAAACCGAGCGGCGTTGCCTGGAGTGAGAAGCACGGCATGAGCTGGCGCTGGTTTATTTTATATATTTTTTTTTTCTTTTTTAATTTAGGGGGGGAGGAAAAAAAAAAAAAAAGACAGAAGATTACATATCCGTGGATTATATAAATGCCGGGTGCATCGCTGCCCGCGGACAGGCGCTAATCCTGCTCCCCTCCGGCAGCACTGCCTGCAAGCTGGACTCCCCCGGCAGCCTGTGCCGCCAGTCCTGACGCCCCGGGGATGGGCACTGGGGAAGCCATTGTGCTCATGTAACCCCCAGTCCCTTCAGTCCCACTCCTCTGTCCTGGCCATGGAGCATGTCCTGGAGCCCAGGTGGGGCTGGGGGTTCCCAGGGGTCACAGCACCCACAGCCCATGGGGTGGGCTGGGTGCTGGGGAGCCAGCGCCGGTGCAGGATCCTTTTGCACCTTCCTGATGAGCTGCGGCAGAGCCGGGCACGGCCCCTCTGGGCTGCCTTCCCCCTGTTCCTTCTTGCTCATCCCCATCTCCAACAACCTGGGGGGGGGGGTTCAGCACCAGCATCACCCACTGTTCTTCCAGCCCAGAGGTTGGCCAAGACCACCAGAGCTCCCCAAAAGGGACTGTGGGACACAGACCTGTCTCCCCAGGGCAAAGCCCACTCCTTCTGCCAGCAGCTGCTGCCCCAGCGGGCTGCCGAAAGCAGAACGGGGCCAGAAAAACCAGAGGCAGGACCCCCCCGGGGTGGGGACATCACCCCCTTCCTCCCAGCATCCTGGCCCTGGCACAGGAATAAAATGACCATCCTTCATTATACCAGTTATCCCCTGCCGGCAGCGGGGATGGAGAACGGCGCCGAATGGTGCCGGGATGGGGATGCTGGGGACACCCAGCCCCTCGGAGAGGATTTTGCCAGTGGTTACAGGCAGGACGAGGGCTCAGCTGTGGTTTCCAGCCTCTGTGGGTCCAAACTGTGGGGCAGCAGTGCCCGGCATCCCACCGGCATCCCCGCACGGATCTGTCCCTCGTGCACAAGCCCCGGCGCGCAGCCCTCCCAGCACGGCACACGTTTCGTGCCCCGTTGCAACACGCCGCTTCCAGCCTCTTGCGTCACGCTGCTGCCAACACAAAGAGCGGGGGCAGCTGCCCGCCCACGGCCCGGCCTGGCATCCACCACGTCTTCGTCTCCTCCCCAGCTCTTGGCTAACCCGGCACACGGCGGCCGGAGCCCAGGAGTGACGCCAGGCAGCCACGGCGTTGCCGCCAGCCGGGGCTCCGTCACCGTTGCTGGCACTGGAAGATAGGACAGAAACGTTCCCGAGCGGCCTTGGGGACTTCTCTGCTCCCGGTCCGCCCCGGTCCACGTCCCATCACCCTGCCCAGGCTGGGGATGGGAAAGGGACACAAAGTCCCCCCCCCCCGGCTGCCCAAACCTGCCCTGGCAATTTGAAGGGGGTCAGTTGGATTTCCAGCCTGTGCGAGTGGAGGGAAGAAGGACAGGAACAAGCTCAGGGATATCATCGTCGCCCAGTGGGATTTCTCCCATCCAGTAGGTTAAACCCTACCAGACCGGGGTGTCGGGGTGCTCTTGGCCTTTTCTGAGTGTCCCCAACCGGGGACACTTTTGGCCGGTGGAGAAAAGCCAAGACCAGCTTCAGCGATGCCGCGCTGGCAACACCACCCCTCTCCGGGGTGCAGAGGAAAGCGGGGTCACCCTCCGGTTTGGCTACAGAGGAAAGGGCAGAACAGCCCCCAAGCCCCCTCCTCAGGGCACAGGACCCCATCCCTGTCCCCATCCCCATCCCACAGGAGCATCCCGAGCGGGACCTGAGCGCGCGTGGGCGGCAGCGGGCGCTGAGCTCCCCCGGGTGCCCGAGAGATGGGCTGGAGCAGGAATTTCCCTGCACCCAAGGGTGCCCTAACTGGGATCTGCTCCCACGCGCCAGGGCAGGAGGGGTCGGCCGTGGCTCTCCCATGTGTGCGGCTGGGTGCAGGGGGGAGCCGCAGGCGAAGGCGGCCCCCCCCCACCCCTCCCCATGGGGTCCGGGCGCCAGCCGCCATCCCGGCCACACCGCGAGCGCCGGGCGGGCTGGATCCTGGCCCCGGGAGCCAAGGGTTGCTGCGTCCCTCCTGCTGCAAGACGGGACCTGCGAGCGGCTCTGGCTGCAAGTCCTTGGCAGCACATCCATCGGGAAAGCTCAGCGGGTGCCGTGGCCTCTGCCTCCTGCTTCCCCCGTCCCGCCAGATCTTTTCCCTCCCGGGCATGCCACGCTGCCGAGCCCCCTCCAACCCCACCGCCAGCTCTGCAGGAGGTCACCCCAAATGCGTAGGGCTGGGATGGTGCTCAGCACCCAGCTCCTCGATGGCAGCACCCTAAGGCATCCAAGAGCCCTCTGCAGCCGGGACCATAGCATGTTTCAGCCCCTTCCCGGGGCTGGAGAGTAATTCCTGGAGGAAAGCTGCCCCTTCCAGCCCAAAGCCCCTGTCTGGGGTAAATCCCACCTGCAAGCAGCTGGGCTTTCCCCAGTCTGGATGAGAAATTCTCCTTTCTGCCAATGTTGGTGCAAAGCAAATCCATCCGCCTCCCTAAAGCCTCGGTGGGGAGGACAGGCTCCATCACTCAGGGAAAATAAAGCTAGTCTTGCCCTGCACAGACCCCTGCTTCTTCCAGACTTGTCCCCACTCGTGGACACCATCCACCCACGCAGAGGACACCATGCATCATGTCTCAGCCCCGGACCGTGGTCAGTCCCAGCCACGATGTCCCCCAGGATGCCGAGCCAGCCCGTGGGCTCCACGTCCTCCATGTACCATCGTTGCAATGTGCCTGTGGCCATTGCGGGACACAGCCAGGGACAACCGTGCCTGCATCCCAGCGGGGTCACCACCAACATCCCAAACCTCTCGGATGAGGGATCAAGCCGGCTACCGGCTGGCAGGGCGGCGGGGGCTCGTGTCCAGCCCTGTGGCTCCCGGCACAGACCCGGGGCTCCCTACGTGCCTCCGGGACCCGGGCAAACCGTTCCCACGCTCGACGCCAGATCTCCAGCCCTGCCCATCGCCCAGCTATTGATTGCTTGCTCAAAAACCCGACTCCTCAGGTGGGAGCCAAGTGCTCGGAAAAAATCCGGTCCCGCGTGCTGTCAAAGGTGCAAAGCAAACAGAGCCACGCATGGCATCGCGGCATTGCTCCCTCCCCAACCTTGCCAGCTGGGATGGGAAATGTGGTCCCCCAGACAGGAAGGGACCCTTGGAGTGGGGGAAATATAAGGTGGGAATATCTGGAGCGAGGATCATGGCATGTTTCTGCAACAGAGCAAACCTCGGTACGGACCCGCTGCACCAGCAAATCTCTGCTGGGGAGAGCCCCAGCGCGGGTCTCGCCCCATCATGGGTGACAAACACTGAGCAGGATTGGGAAAAGTGAGAAATAACGATAATGTATTTTCTAGCCAGGTTCTGGCCTCTGAAAAGCACAAAGGGAGAGGTTACCCACTGTCAAACCTGCAGTAGAAAAATATCCCCCGTTCCCAAAATACCCTCGCTCCCCGGGCCAGGTATTCACGGGGGCTGCTGGAGACGTGGGGCAGTAACCCCAGGCTCGACCTGCCCCAGGGTGCCCAGCCTGCCCCGCGTCCCCATGCCCTCCCTCTCCCACCCCTATTAAGGGAGACATCTTCAACAGCTCTAAATTGCCCGTAATTACCCCGAGGAGGCGGCGAGAAGCCCCTCACCGAGGGGCCCAGGTCCACAATTACTATAATTGCGCCTCCATTTCGGGGGAGCGATTGCATGTCTGAAAATAGCGGCGGGTCCCGCACAGATGTCTGGGGGGTGGACACAGCCCCAGCCCCCTGCTCCAATGCTCCATCCCTGCAGGGCTATATTCCCAGGAGCTTTTGGAGATGGGATCCTCCGAGGACCGGGACCGAAGCGTCTCCCCCAAACCAGGGACAGACGCCCCCCTAAAGGGAGCGGCAGGTAGGGAGGAGCAGTCTTTTCTTTACAAGTGTACAGCCTATTTATAAAGGGGGGGGCACGTACAATAATGAATGGTATTTATAAATAAGGCCAGGCTGGGGGGCGTCCAGAGACTCCCCAGCCCCTCTCGGGGCCCCCCTTGCCCCATGTCCATGAACGGAGGGACGCGGGGCTACGGCTGGAGGCCAAGTCCTGTCCTGCCGGGACGGGCGCACCAGGGTGCTGTGCTGGAGCTGTCTCACTTCAGACCGCGATGGAGCAGGCGATCCCCAGGTTCCTGCAGACCGCAGTCGCCTTCCTTCTCCTCTTCCTCCTTCTCCATTCACTGGGGTCCCCCAGGGCTTCGCTGGGCTCCCCGGTCCCTTGGGGGGGGAGTGGTAGAGCATCCCCCCCACCTCGCTGGCCCTCCCGGAGCCGGTGGTTGCTGGATCCGTGGCAGCATCACATCATGGGGGCTCGGGGGATGGCATCTTGCGGGTGCGGCTGGTACCAGGCTCCGAAGCTGTTGATGTAGCTGCTGGGGGCCAGGGGGGGCCCTTTGCCCGGCACGGGGATGTCCCAGAGCGGGGGGATGTTGGGGGAGCAGGGGGAGAGGGAGGCAGCGGTGTGGAGGTGCTCCCCATCGGGCGCGCTCGAGCCCTGCTTCATGATCTTCTTGTACTTGGAGCGCTTGTTCTGGAACCAGATCTTGACCTGTGGGAGAGAGAGGGGTGAGTGGGGAGGATGGGGTCTGTGGCTAATGCCCCCCCCCCAAGCCCCTCGCATCAATAATTACAGACCTCTTTGGGGTCCCCATCTCCCCCATCTACACCTGCCCTTTCCCAGGGGCCACAGCCGATGCGGCGTGGGGGTCTCTGAGATAAGCAGGGCTTTCAGCCCAACCCTATACAAACCACCAGAGACTCCGCTTTAAGGGCAGCTGGAGGAGATTGTGGGGAGAGGCGCGCAGGGAGCCCAAACAAACCTGCGATAAACGGAGACCAACCCAGGAGTCCCCAGCCGTACACATCCCCATGTGTCCCCCACGTGTCCCCCACCTCCGGCACAGGCTGTGGCCCCCACCAGCCCAGCTGGGTGCCGGGTGCCAGGGCTGGGCCGGGGTGCGGCACGGTGGGGCCCGCCGCGCTGGGGTGGTGGCCCCACTCATTCCTCCCCGCGGTCCCCCCCGCGCTGCCGGCAGGTTCCCACTTGTCTCTTCTTCCCCGGCTTTATGAGCTCGCTTCGCCCCTGGCTCCGGGCTGCACCGCTGCCGCCTGCTTGTCTCTCCCCATCGCCTTCAAAAACCCACTCACCCCGTCCCGCGGCCCAGGGCCGCCCAACGCCGGGCACGGCCGGGCCGCCAGCCAGGCTTCGGGGCTGGGAAAGTCCCGGTGCCGCTGGGAGGTGCGAGCAGGGGCGCCCCAAACCCGAGCCCCGGGGGCCCACCGGCGCCAGCTCCCCCGCCGCGGCACGGCAAGGCTCGGCACGGTTCCAGTTGCACCCCGGCGTCGTGACGCAGCCTTAATCCGGAGTCACTCCCGGAGCGGCGATGGGCACAAGAACCCCTCGCGTGGTGCATCCCCCGGGGATTGCGACCATCCCCTTCGCCCCTGGCGGGGGGGCCGTACCTGGGTCTGGGTGAGCCCCAACTGGGCCGCCAGCTCGGCACGCTCCGGCAGCGCCAGGTACTGGGTCTGCTGGAAACGCTGGTTGAGAGCTTGCAGCTGCAGGCTGGAGTAGATGGTGCGCGGCTTGCGCAGCTTCTTCCCTTTGCCGTTGATGCGCAGCTCCCCGTTGGCGATGGCCGGGGGCTTCTCGTGTTCTTGGGGTGGGAGAGGAGCAGAGAGTTAAACTAACACGCTGGGAGGTTAAAAAAAAAAACCCCAAACCCAACCCCAAACCATCCCACCCTGGCCCTGGGGGCTGCAGCGGGTTTTGCTTTTTGGAGCTTAGTTTTGGAGGGGAGGGGGAATAAGTAGGGGGGGACCTGCTTTTGCTGTGCTGGTTTGTTTAAGCCCCAGGTGAAGCAAAGGGGAAACAGAAGGAGGAAGGGAGGGATGGGATTATTCGTTCAATATCACTATACGAGCCCAAAAGCGGGCAGGCCACAGGCCCCTCTGCCGTGCACCCAATGTGGGGGAGCAGGCAGGGCCCATGGGGTGACAGAGGGGGCGACAGGACAGACTCCCCTGCCCTGGGGACCCTTGCTGGGGGCACGCTGCTCCCCCAGGCTGCAGCGAGCCCCCGGCCAGCCCCTCGCTGCGAGGTCTGTGCCCCCATCCTGGACCCATCTCCTTCCCACTCCGTGCCTGGGAGCATCCTTGGGATCTTCTTGGGCCACGTGGCTTGTGCGGGGCAGAAACCCACCGGGGCTCAGGGAGGGACGGGGGACAAGGTGGTCCCCGACTCAGCAGCATGGGGCCGACGCGGGTGAGCGCAGGGCACGGCGGCAAGCGCGTCTGCGCACCCACGTACACCCTGCACATAATCTGCTCTGGCCACTGCCACGGCTCTCCGGAGCTGACGAGGGGGCCACAGGGCCAAAGGGCTCAGCCGGGCTCCGGACCCCTCCGTGGGGCAGCCTGGGGGCTGCTTCTCTCCGGGCTGGCTCAGCTTGCTGTTTCCCACATCAGCTTTTGGGGAAAACAGTGGGGAACGGGGATACAACAGGGCAGGGAGCTGAGCTCGGAGCACGATGGCGGTGGGGCAGAAGGGAGAGTCTGCTCGGCCTGGGGGGCCTCAGGGTGCAGGATGAGGGCAGCTGGGGGGGCTCAGGGTGCAGGATGAGGGCAGCCGGGGCTCTGATGCTCCCCATCCCCAGGGGTTTCTTGCAACCACGCAGCCACCCATCCACACGGAGCTCCGGGCACACCGGGAGCTGTGTGGGGGGGACCACCCCGGACATCACCCCCAACCCCCGCGGGTCCCTTCGGAGACCTCCCCACCGGCCCG